ACATTACAAATTCTTGCTCGTGAAACAAAAATACATGACATTGTATTATACTTGGCTTAATAACAAAATCATCTCCATAGAGAATAGAGAGCTCTAACCGGCAAGTATTACATCTACGGTTCTGTAATCAAGCTATGGGTTCACGTTTTGCATCTACTCAAATTACAAGTTGTAGGAAGCTTACCTGGCTAGACGAGCAATGAGGACTCACGAGTAAAGTTGTCGACGTCGAGCAATGAGGACTGACGATGATGGTTCAAGCTTCGACCTTCGAGATGTGGCTTGGGAGTCACTGTGGCCTGTGACTGCAAGGACTGAGGAGGAGGATGACTCGACGCCTCCGATGCTGTGGCTTAGGCTTCGGAGTCGACGTCGCTGAGGATATAAAGATCGGAAAGCACAAGCATGAAGACTAAAGAAAGGTAGGCGACTGAGCGACTGCGCCACTGACCATCCTTCACGTTGATGCTGAGCGACGCTGACGTCAGGCGTGGCTGTCTGTCTGACTATGAGAGACTGAGACTAAGGTAGGAGAAGGAGACTAAAGAGGCAGAGAGTAGAGTCTGAGTCTTTGAGAGCCAAGGTGAGACTGTGTCTGTGAGAGACTGAGAGGAGCGCCGACTGTTGAAAATTGGACTGAAGAGTCAAAGACATTGTATTATACTTGGCTTAATAACAAAATCATCTCCACAGAGAATAGAGAGCTCTAACCGGAAAGTATTACATCTACGGTTCTGTAATCAAGCTATGGGTTCACGTTTTGCATCTACTCAAATTACAAGTTGTAGGAAGCTTACCTGGCTAGACGAGCAATGAGGACTCACGAGTAAAGTTGTCGACGTCGAGCAATGAGGACTGACGATGATGGTTCAAGCTTCGACCTTCGAGATGTGGCTTGGGAGTCACTGTGACCTGTGACTGCAAGGACTGAGGAGGAGGATGACTCGACGCCTCCGATGCTGTGGCTTAGGCTTCGGAGTCGACGTCGCTGAGGATATAGAGATCGGAAAGCACAAGCATGAAGACTAAAGAAAGGTAGGCGACTGAGCGACTGCGCCACTGACCATCCTTCACTTTGATGCTGAGTGATGCTGACGTCAGGCGTGGCTGTCTGTCTGACTCTGAGAGACTGAGACTAAGGTAGGAGAAGGAGACCAAAGAGGCAGAGAGTAGAGTCTGAGTCTTTGAGAGCCAAGGTGAGACCGTGTCTGTGAGAGACTGAGAGGAGTGCCGACTGTTGAAAATTGGACCGAAGAGTCAAAGACTGAAATGAAAAGAGGGGAAAATGAAAACCTAATGTGGAGTAAATAATTTTTTAGCCAATTTACTTAACAGGATTTAAAATTATATATTATGTAAAAGAAGTAACAACAAAACGTAATGGTGCAGTGGTGAAGTAACTTTTCATCCACTCACAGGTCTTGGGTTCAAGGCCTACGTTTTGCATAATCCACTTATTATGTGGAAAAACATAACAGGCTTAGGCCAACCTGATAAGTCTTATAGGCTTCTCTCGGAGCCTGAGCCTGGCCTGTTAAGCGAAAAAGGCTTCTAAAAAAGCCTGAGCCTGTATTTTTTTTTCCTAACAGGCCTGGCCTAATCAGGCCTAAAACAGGCCCCTGACAAGCTGCTGGCCTATTTCCACTTGTACTTGATATGAAATTATGAAAATGATGAAAAATGAACCCTATCATGGTATATTTTAAAACTTTTCACGGCGGTTATTAAGAAAACCGACGTGGAAATCACCGTTAAAAGTACTTTCCACGGCAGTTCTCTCAATAACCACCGTGGAAAGTTAACAGTCACCGAATTTATTTACAAAAATGCCACCTCTTTTTTTTTTCATGGTGTTTTTCTTCTTAATCACTGTTGTTTTGTGTTGTTAAATGGTTTTTTTCTAGTAGTGATTATTTATTTCATTACCCAAAATAAAATTATTAATACAAAATTAAACATATGTATTTTTGTTATATTATTATCAATAATTTGTGAATTGTAAGATATATTTTATATAAATTGGTAAATGTATCATGAGATTGAATTATTTAAGTTTGTTTTTAAATCATTTTGTAACTTAATATTTTATTTTTATACATATATTATTATATAAGTATATAATATTAATTTTTATTTAATTATTTTATTATTGGTTTGACCGTTCCGATCGTATGAATCATGAACCATTAGTTTTCTGGTTTAATATTCGGTTTGGCTTTTAAGATACTAATAGATAGTAAATTAAAGAAGGTCTCATGCTTCGTTGTGCGTCGTCGTTACGTCGCCTATAGCTTTGAAATTACTTAACTAACTATTGATATTAATAAATATTAACTTCAAATAATTTTTTATATCATAATATATTTGAATCGTATTTGGCCAAGCCACAGCAGTTAGCTAATTGCTTTACGTCATTGAAATTCTGATGAGCGTGGAAAAGTCTGGCTTATAAACATAAAACAATATCTTATATGATCTTATCCTTATTCTCTTTAAATTCATTAAACCCTAATTAATTATTGAGAAAAGCTGTTGAATAAATAATATCATCAAGTCGGTGTTCAAATCTGCAAACCCACTTGTACACGTGGGCTGTCTCTTAGTAAACTAGTTTTAAGTTGGGTATTTTATTAAATTTCTATTTATTTTTGGGGAAATAGGATAAATCATTAAATCCTCATTTGAAATTTTAATAGGGAAACAGTTGCTAGAAAAGGGTGAAGCCACGAGGTTATTTTGGGGAAATTAGTGCGATGATGACGAAGAGGCTAAAACACCTTTAGAGTTGAATACTCATTGCTTTTCCTCTGCAATATAAATTCAAATTGCTTCTGAAAAAATATCTGGGTCTAAAATATAAGTGACTTGATGAGTAGTCAATGCTTATTTATTAATTTTTATTCTTGTAATTAATAGCTAAATATAACTCTTTGTATTTTTCTTTTTCTTTTTCCTTCATAACTTCATTTAATATAAGTAAATTTAAGAAAAATACTAATTTGAGACATATTTAATAAGTTAATTATTATTTTTTATTTTGATGAATTGATTAAAGTGATTTACTCCTTTGGTCCTATTTATAGGGCAAAGAGAGAAGATTTTTTTTGTCACATTTATAAGTCACTTCGTTAAATTTTTAATGCAAATGTACTATTTCGTCCTTCGTTTATTATATTGTAGATAGTTATCTTTTTTGAAAGTTGTATATATTGAATCAAGGTAAATTTAAAAAGTTGTTATATTTTAACAGAGAGTTAATATATTTAAATATTTTTTTTATTTATGTGAAATATGTTAAAAATGTCTTATAAATAAGATTAGAGAAGTATATTGTAAACAGATGAAGAATGATTTTTACGGCCAGCTTTCTGGTCGGAGGAAAGTTGATGATTATGGAGATGATTACTTCACAGACATACTAGCATTTATTAATTTCCACATAGGACTATGTATGACTTATGCTGATAAGGATTATTTTTTTGACAAAAAAACAATGAAAAGAGAAGAACTGAGTTTTTAGTTAGTCAAAAATTCATAAACTAAATCATATGGAGGCCATTCTTAAGAAATTGAGTTATAACTGAGTTAAAAGTTAAAGCATTTAAAATTAATTTTCCTTTTATTAATTTATAAAAATTACCTACGATTAAAGCTCCATTTGTTTTCCAATTCATAATTTTTTTTATACGTTAGCAGCTTCATAATATTTTATAATTCCATTTAGTTGCTTCCCCACGTGTGTAAAGAAAAAAGGAACTTTGTGTCAAAAAAAAAAAGAAAAGGAAATAGTTCCTGATATCTATGATTAATTGTGCAAAAAAATAATTACTTTTTCATCTTAAATATGAGACCCATTTTGTAATGTAAATTATACTATAAAATAAGTCTTATATTTAAGACTAGAAGAATATTTTGTACTTTTCTTACCTTGTTGAACTTGACAGCTTATTATCGTCTTCTAAATGCTGTCAATTGTTCAAGTCTTTTACGTACAGATCTAAACATGAATAATTTACAGGCATTTTTTGTTCACTATTTCAACCATTTTCAAAAGCATCAGTGAAACTTTAGCGTGGGTTAAAACAACAAATAAAACCCGCTTTTTTATTTTTACTGTAGAATAATAAAATTATATTAAAAAAATTCTCTTTGGTCCTACATATATAGGTTAAATAATTAATTTGTATAGATTAAAAAATTAGTTAAATTAATTATTTCTAAAAAATGCATGCTGGTTTCTTTAAAATTAAAATATCCTATTTAACTTGTGTAATCTAATTTTAAAAAAAAAATTGTGAATTTGAGAAATAAAATAAATTAAAATATTCAATTATTTAAGGTCAAAGCAAACTTCACATCTGATTTTTACATTTAGGTTCACAGGAAGTATATGCATCGGTGCATAAACCTTTCTTAATTGATTAATGCATAGACAAAACAATTGAATCACTGGGGGCCAGAAGGAAACAAAGTTAGGTTGGCATTTGTCAAGCACGCAAGTTTTGGTCAAAGGCAAAATAGTAACATAAAATGGTTTCTTGTTTGAATCGCCACCAGACGTGGGGAATTGGCATTTGCCATTATATTATAATATTATAATATATATATTTATATAACAGAGTTAAGGTATATCCAACACTCCAAATTTTTTTATGGTACATGAAGCACTCTGATCTTATTTTTTGACACATCCAATACTCTAATCTTATTTTAATGTAAATATATTAGGGTGGTGGATGCAATCAAAAAATAATATTAAGATACTGAATCTATTCCAAAAAAAGATCAAGATACTAGATATAAAATTGGAGTGTTGAATGTACTTTTATGCTATATATGACTTAATCTGGAAACTTCCCACAGGTCAAATTTCAAAATCGCTGAGTTTCTTATCTTATCGATTGAAATCCATAGTTTTCATTATACGCGTTATTAGCACTATAAATTCATGCTTTTGGTTTCTTGGAACCCTCATAATCAAAAATAAGTCGAAGAAGATAAGAGAGAATATGAAGTCTACATTTCCAGTTTTTGCGTTTTTCATTGCCGTGAGCACTCAAACACTGTTCGCAGCGGCTGGTCCTTCACCGGCGCAGGTGGTTGACACCACCGGCAAGAAGGTCCGTGCCGGCACGGATTACTACATCCGGCCAGTGCCTGAAACACCGTGCGACGGTCGTGGGCCGTGTGTGAACGGCGAAGGCTTAGTTCTCATATCGAGATCGGTCAACGTGACGTGCCCTCTTAATGTTGCGGTTGTGGTGGGATTCCGTGGCCTGCCATTACAGTTCACACCAGTTAATCCTAAGAAAGGTGAGTTTTGTTCAATACACAAATGTTAGAATCTCGATTAAGTAACATAAGTTAAATAAATTATTTTATAAGAATTGAAGTACGCATTAGCATGATTTTAAAGTAATATATTATACTACTACATTACTGATCCATCATATGATGAATTGTTTTTTTAAATTTGGAATCTATTTGGATTCAATCACTATATTATCAGGGGTTAACAGGGTCTCGTAAATAACTTTTCCATGATAATCTCTTCTTATTAGTTGGATCTTTTTATTAGAGATAGGAGTCACTGAGTTTCTTTAACTGTAGAGGATGTGAGCTCTTAATTATTACCCAGCCTCACATTAGTATTACTATTTCCAGGATCAAAAAAATGAGAGGAAGTTACGATATACTAATTCTGTACTTATAAATCTCTTGTAACTTATTTTCCCATATTAAGGAATGCACTAAATTAATAAAAATAATTTAAATTTATCCTTATTAAAGTTTTTTCTCTCTTTTTGTGTTTACAAATCATTATCACCCCTCATTTTTCTCTCTTTTCAACTAGAATTAAATAATAATAAAAGTAGAAAATAATTATTAAATATCTACAAGTGATTTATATTTATGACCAAAAAATTTTCCTTTACAAGTGACTTACACCAAGGAAGTGACTGATATTCTCACTTACCGTAAATGTAGAGCTAATAGATATATTTACTTTGATCCTACGTATAATATCGTAGTCCACCTTATCTTTCAAATTCATAATTTTTTGCCTAAACACTCTTTGTAATTTACACATATTAAGGTTTTTTTTTCAATCAAGAAAGTAGTTTTTCATTCAAATGATTAAAAGGATGCTTTAAAAAAGCCAACACATATCATTACATTTGATTGACTAAATTAATTTTTTCTTTATAAATTAGTTGTTTACTTTCAATATTCAGAATAAGGAATTAATGTGTGTGTGTATATATGTATATGTATGTATATATATACAAAAACTCGGCTCTGTATAAATTTATTTCAAGATATATGGATGAGTCATCCAAACTTATTTTTTGCATCCTATGTGATGTACACGTGTAGCAAATATTACACTGGGAGAAGATGGTAGTAATAACACTACGGAATTCTAAGTTTTTGTAAACTCCTTGTAGAAATAACAAAATAATTATTTTTTTAAAAAACAGAAAATCGATATCAAAGAACGTGGCGTCTCATGTAAGATGACAGCTATTGAATTGAATAGTTCAGGAATAATAATGATTTTATTTTATTTTACATATTATATTGATATTGATGATGAAGATGAACTTGTTTGTTCTGGAAGGTGTTGTTCGTGTGTCGACGGATCAAAACATAAAGTTCAACCTAACAACGGCGTGTGAAGAGGGCACAGTGTGGAAGCTGGACGACTTCGACACAACGACAGGACAATGGTTCATAACTACAGGTGGGGTTCTGGGAAACCCAGGCCCAGAAACCATAGGGAATTGGTTCAAGATTGAGAAGTACGAGGATGATTATAAGTTGATGTACTGTCCAAGTGTGTGCAAGTTTTGCAAAGTTCTATGCAAGGATGTTGGAGTGTTTGTGGATCAGAATCGCAGTCGTCGATTGGCTCTCTCTGATAAACCCATGAAAGTTCAGTTCCAGCGTGCTTAAATAATTAGCCTCATCATCAATCCTTAATCGTTCCATTAATCCCTCTTCGATCGATTTTCTTGTTGCATGTTCTTTGTTTAATGTACTGCTCTTGTTTATTTGTATGTGTTTAATTCCATAATTCTCTTTCTCTGGTTTTTGTTTCAAGAAGTGATATGAAAGAAGAAAAACATATTGTTGGGTTTCATAGTTTGCTCACCCTTAATGGCGTAGAACATGGCTAAGCCCATTGGCAATGTGGGGGTATTTTCAGTAAATAAATAATACGTTGGCCTAATTACATAATTTTTCTCATTTTGAACTGAAGGAAATAGTGCTGTAAATAATTTGCGTGAATGCGTTAAAGGAGGAAGTCTGACTCATTACTTGTCAGACACACTGCTTTGAGCACTCATCCCTTCCTCATTTGATAATTTTCTGAAGAACATTATTGCTTTACATTTTTGCTATTATGTTACCCCATCTTCTTGTAAGAAAAAATTCGTTTTTAATTACGAGGAGTGTCATATTTTAACATTGCAAAATAATTTTTAGTGACAGTGTTTTCGGACACAACTTGAATCACTACCAATACTATCGCCAACGATAATTGTCCTTAACGCACTCTCATCATGCACGATCGGGTAAAGACGGGTGAATAGCATTAATCCTCTTCGATCGATTTTCTTGTTGCATGTTCTTTGTTTAATGTACTGCTCTTGTTTATTTGTATGTGTTTAATTCCATGTGTTTAATTCCATAATTCTCTTTCTCTGGTTTTGTTTCAAGAAGTGATATGAAAGAAGAAAAACATATTGTTGGGTTTCATAGTTTGCTCACCCTTAATGGCGTAGAACATGGCTAAGCCCATTGGCAATGTGGGGGTATTTTCAGTAAATAAATAAGTAAATAAATAATACGTTGGCCTAATTACATAATTTTTCTCATTTTGAACTGAAGGAAATAGTGCTGTAAATAATTTGCGTGAATGCGTTAAAGGAGGAAGTCTGACTCATTACTTGTCAGACACACTCCTTTGAGCACTCATCCCTTCCTCATTTGATAATTTTCTGAAGAACATTATTGCTTTACATTTTTGCTATTATGTTACCCCATCTTCTTGTAAGAAAAAATTCGTTTAATTACGAGGAGTGTCATATTTTAACATTGCAAAATAATTTTTAGTGACAGTGTTTTCGGACACAACTTGAATCACTACCAATACTATCGCCAACCGATAATTGTCCTTAACGCACTCTCATCATGCACGATCGGGTAAAGACGGGTGAATAGGAAGAAGTTATTGGGAGATATAGGTGAACAAAACTTCCTCTTCCTTTGGTGCATGATTGTTACCCAAGACTAATAAACTCTTCGACAAATAAAACTTGGAGCTGAAGGTTTATAACTGATGGAGCAGACCAACTTCTACTTTCATCATCCCTTGCATTGGATAATCCCAGCCCAATAGTATTTGCTCCATTTGATGGAGCAGGCCCATTTCCACTTTCATCTCCCATCGTGGCATTTATCACTTGGCATAATGAATGTGTACTAATTAGGACCTTTGAACAATCTGTAATTTATTCTACCTCAAATCCTATTTAGAAAACCCCATTTGTAAATCTTATTTGTAATTTAAAAAACGAGGTCTTATAAATAAAATCGGAGTTAGTAATTTATAAGTACTTCTATAAGCATCATTTAAGTTTAAAAGTATATCATAACTTTAATAAGCTTCTAGAACCTAACTTATTTAAACTTTATTTATATAAAAAAGATATTATAACCTTCGATTCTTTATCTAGTGGCCATAAAATTTCTCCAATCATGCTAATAGAAGTTAAGAATAGTGGAAGGAGTTAGTTCATGGCAATACAGTGAATCAATATTCAAATTTCTACTAGAAGAGGTACCTATATTTAATATTAGATAATGCGTCGAATATAATTACCTGTAATAGAAAGATACTTGTGTAATAATTTGAAAACATTTTATGAACTACTTTTCCTATTTTTACCAATGGAAAATAGTTCTCATATGCTTCTTGGCATTCATTCATTGCTCTCCCAAAGTAAATAAAGGGTAATCACAACTATTTTCATCTTGACGGTAGTTGATTCATCTTCTTCCCCCCTCACTGGACGGATTTGGAATGGAAGCTGCTCCATCTCTATTGCCTCTTAATTTTCCCCTAGTTCTTATATTATTCTCTTAAAATTTCTTTTCACCATTATATTCTACATAAAATGAGTAAAATTTTGATATCTCATGAGGCAAAAATGGTGTTGTTTTCAATTTTTTATATTTTTTTAAAGAATTTGTATCTAAATTAAAAGGAAATATCATCAATTTTAGAATTCCTTCTCTTTGAAAAATAATAAAAATTGAAAAAATAAAACACTTTTTGACACATGAGATATCAAAATTTCACTCATTTTATATAAAATCTGATGGTAAAAAGAAATAAGAAAAATACATTTGGAAAGTAGGGCAAAATTAAGGAATAGAGCAGTGGAGATGGGGCAACTGACATTCCAAATTCCTTACTAATAAGTGTATTTTTACACGTTTTTTCCGCCAAACATAAGTAAAAAGAATTCGAATATTGGTTCAGACTAAAATTCCTAAATGGCCTACTCTAAAATTCCAGAATGGAATCGCCATAAAGCCTAAGCTTTGTGCTTTTTCATTTTTCTTAATTTATTTTCGCAGCACCCAAACACTCTTCTTGGTATCCAATTATTCATTATTCATTTTCTGTGAAGCAAAATTTCTTCCCCTTGCTTTTAGAATCCATGAACCCAGGTATTCAACGAAATCGTTGTCGCAGAAATTTAGCGCTTCAATGATTTTTTAAGTGTCTGCCTCCTCATTGCTGTCCAATGAATTTTTTAATGGCGTTAACATTTATTAAACAGTTTTAAACATAAAAACTAACGGAATTAACTTAAAAAACCTGCTATAATGGGAAAAAATATAGGGATATAATTCAAAACTATATATATATAACGACTAGAGAATTAGGTTCGTTTCTGTTTTTTATTTTCTTGTTTTCAGCACAATTTTATAAAATTGTTTTTAAAATAAGTTTTGAGAATAAAAATCAAAAGAAATATTTTTGGATAATTATTTTAAAAAATAACATATAGAACCAAAAAAAAATCATATTTGACCGGTGGCTGTCGCCAGCAATGATGTGTGGTGGACGATGGGTCAACACTGATAAGAGAGAGTTTCTCTAATTTTTCAAAACAAAAAATATAAAGTACAAAAGCAAAAACAAAAAATCACCTAAAATTTTTTTGGTTTTTTTAGTTTTTAGAAACATGTTACTGTTTTTTGGTTTTTTTTTTTTTTCAAAACAACCAACTAAAAATAAATTACTAAACAAGTTTACAAGCCCTTAATTTTCCTAATAATTAAATTAATATGGTTTGGTTTTTGAAGTTCCTCATATCTAAACAAGCCTAAAGTAAACCGCAAAGCTCTATGCTACAATCAACGTAAAAGGAGAGCGTATGGCTTCCCTCTTTTCCCATTTCAGTTCGTTGCCATCCTTCTTTACCTCAAACAATACCATTTTGATGTAAGATAGGTATGGGAACACTTCCCCTCTCCCCCCCCCCCCCAAAAAAAAGAAGAAGCATCCAATAACCTAAAATAATATTTCAGTAGAGTAGAATATAATATTACATGTTTGACTCACTGGAATTGGTAAAAAAAAAAAAATCAGCGAGCTCACCGAGTTTGATGAAGTTAATGGAGTTATTTGCAAGTTCAACTAAGTTCGTAACTAGCGTGAGTTTAAAAATAAGTTAACACAATTTTATAAGGTAGGAATGCAAAATAAATGAACTTGATTAGTTAACTCTTAAGTTCAACTGAATTTAAAAGAAAGTTAAGAATAAGTTAACATAATTTTAGAAGTTAAAAATTAAAAAAAATTGTATATTTCGTAGTTTAACTTGTAAGATTAATAATAATGCTAAACACTACGAGCATGTTTGGATCTCGGTTTGTAACGCTAAAAGCCCATTGAAATGAGTGAAACTGGGGTTATTGGATAAAAATATTGTTTGGATAGCCTGACTTTTCTAACCAACTTCTGGCCTTCAATCTCAATTGAACTCAGCGGAAGAAAATCTGACTTATCAAATTGCATTTTCAAATGATGATCATTAAAAATGAGCATCCCATATTTACTCTCACATTTCTCCTCTGCCTCATCTCCCTTGTTAGCATAATGAGTTTTTATTCGGACCAAATGAATTTTAATTTATATTTATGTTTGTCCATTATATATATTTAATTAATTATCTACAATGTGTTTTCAAATTTTTCTCTGTAATAAATATTTTTATTTTATAATTTCACAAATAAACTATTTATATTTGGTCATAATAATTTTATGTATTTTTTTAAACTATTATGACATTAAAAATATAAAATTTCAAACACTACTATTCAATAAAGTTCATATTCTTTTCGGTCATTTTACAACTAAACTGACTTTTTCATTAATTATCCAAACAACTTTTAATTTTTTCAACTGACTTTTTAAAAACGCATATCCAAACATACTCTAACTAACTTTTATTCTAATTTCAGTTGCAAAAGTCAGTTAGATTAGAAGTCAGTTTTGCCTAACACCAATCCAAACATATCCTATATCTCTAAAAAAAAAAAAGTGTGTATGAGATCCCTTCACACGTTAAAAGGTAATTTCTTGTTTGTTTAGTTTTTTGTTTTAAAAACAATTTTTTATTTTTAAAAACTGAAAAACCAAAAAAAAAAATTGTTTGGTAATTTGTTTTTAATTGTTTGTTTTAAAAAACAAGAAAGAGTAACATGTTTCTAAATGCTAAAAAATCCAACACAATTTTTACATATTTTTTTGTTTTTAACTTTGTGTTTTTTATTTTTTGTTTTGAAAAATTGTGAGAAATTTTCTTCCCTTCTCACCTACTATTCACTACCTATCATTATCAGTAACAACTATCACTTACTGATATGATTTTCTATGGTTTTTTTTAAAACATGATTTTTTAAAATTATTATCCAAACAAATTCTTTTGTTTTTTGTTTTCAAAAATTGTCTAAGAAACAATTTCATAAAATTGCTTTGAGAACAAAAAAACAAAGAACAAAAACAAACAAGCCCTCAATTTTCAAAATAAAAAAATAGTAACAGAAAAACAAACGCACAAAACATCATC